TATACAGATACAAAATCACTTACTAAGCATGAGAGTGAAGAACATTGCGAAAATGATGGGCAGATGGCCGGCAGCGAGCACATCCAACTGCAGCATGGCCTCCTCCTAAACATACGAATGTGAAAGACACACGTACTACAGAAGACGAACCATATCATTTGTGGGGCAACTTCTAGAACATCAAAAATGCACAGTTGTAAGGCGACTTCTGTAAATAACCGCTATCAAACGGGCCAAGTGTCACAGGGTACGCCAGCCTTGTGTACTTCATCAGCAATCCCACTGTCCGCCGAGTTTAAATGCACGCCCACACTGAGGCCTAGCGTGGTAGCACTGTGTGGATTTCACCGACGAGATAGCATTTTCAACGAAGAGAGGCAGCAAAGATCAATGAATGGGGACACGCTCGGCAGTTTTTCGGAAACTGCAGAATTACTACTTTAACTTATCAATTAATATGCTACCAAGAATACCACGACCGCTTGGTCTATCAGTATAGAACTCCCTTGTTATGGGTCACGCTATAGCCTGAGCAAAAACGCATATTGTAAAGAGGTCGTCTCGGGCATGTTCGGAAGTAAGTGAAGTTTGTCACCCACTTTCAACTTAGCAACCAAGAAAGCCGGGAGGTTGAAATTTTGGGGGCATGTCCTCACCCCACCTAGATCTCGCGTACGGACCACCTGAAAAAAACGCATATTTCTTCGGCGGGAGACAATTTCGTAATCCAGACAAGACAGATCCAGGCTGGAACGCACCAGCCCAGCCCGGGCGAGCGTGCGTTTTTGCTTAACTTTTTATGCAGATTTCACTCAGAAGCGAGTGCATTTTGCAGCGAACGACAGCCCTCATCCTCTCCCATATCCAGTTCCAGTTCTTCACTGAAAAGTGAAAATGTTGCTACAGAAAAATCCAAATATGCAAATGAACTGGATGTTGGGAGAGGATGAGGGCGCTCGTTGCAAAATGCACTCGTTCCTGAGTTTGTCGTAAAATTGAGTTTTTCTCATGCTTACTTGTAGGGAATTTCATTTCCAAGCAGAATTTAGACCGCACTTGAAAGTAGAATACCCCACCGAAGTTTCAGCCTCGCACATTACCCGGTAAGCGAAACAGCCACTTCGTTATAAATATCTTTGAAGTCGTGGCGTACATGCAAATCGGGACTCATTTCAAATATACGATTTCCTATATGGACAATAAATACTCCGACAAAATTTCAGCCACTGCTTTCCAGCTGGTTTTCGAGCTAGAACAGTTCCAGATGCAAACCTTGACGTGACTGCACGCGCTGCACAAGCGTGTGCAGTGGCTAAATTTGAAATCTTTAGTTCACACAAGCACATTGAATATCCCTACAAATTTTCAACTTTCTATCTTGTCTGGTTTTCAAAATCGTTTGCCGCCAAAAAAATTTGCATATTTTTTTCGCATGACCTATGCATGTATGAGGGAAGATTTTAAAACGGAAGGGTGCTGCACAGGGTGGGAATATGCCCCCAAATTTTCTGCTCCCCATTTTTCCTGGTTGCTGAGTTGAAAGTGGGTGACAAAGCTCACTCGTTCCCGAACAAACACACAGACGACCTCTCGACAATATGCATTTTTGCTTGCTGTAGCAGCGCTATAGCGCTACACAGCAGAGACGCATAAAAACTGAGGGATATTCTCTATGCGTGTTTGAGCTAAAGATTTCAAATTCAGCCATTGCCCATACTTGTGCAGCGCATACAGTCACGTCAAAG